TTAAAACAAGCAATACAAGATATAAAAGAGCAAAGAGACAAATTGGAAATCACACAGTCTGAGCTACAAAAGAATAAAGAACATGCAGACAATCAGTTTGATGAGATGAACCAAGAAAAAGAACAACTGTATCAAATGAGAACAACGACTGAAACTGAGAGAGAGATGTTCTTACATGAACAGAAGAGGATGAAAGGAGAACAGTCTCAGCTGGAAATAAGAGAGGACCAGCTCACCAGGTTAATGTACTCCATGGGAAGTCTGACAGCAAAACTCAAAAAACTGTGTCAAAGGACACATGAAGACTTAACAAAGAATATGAACAGATTAGGCCAGAAATATGAAGATATGCTCCAACAGAACTCAATATTGGAACATAAGTGTATTGAATTTGTTCAACAGGAAAATAAGATGACTCGTTATTGTGACCTGATAAAAAAGGAGAAGAAACATGTGGTGACAATGACATGTGACAAGGCAGAGCAAACTGACATTTTGAAAGAATGGGTGGTTGTTCTTCAGTCAGATGTTGCGATCCAGACTGAAGATCAGTGGAAGCCAGAGCGACATGAACAGGATCTTGAAAGAAAGGTTAAATACTTGAAAAGTGAGAGGAAAGGTCTGCTGATGGAAGCAGAAGATGAAGAGCTGGAAAATGAACAGAAACAGAGGCTTGAGTCAGCTTCAGAGCAAGATGGTTTTACAGATAGGAAAATATCAAAAAGAGATTGTTTGCGAAAGCTGTGGAAGGACACTAAAACAGAACGGAAGGAGATTGATCGGATGAGGCGCGCAAGCCATGAGATGAGAAACAACCTCGAGAACAGACTCAAGGGGATCAAACAGTTTACTAAGAAAACATGGTTACAGAAAGAAAAGGAACCGTTGGACAGGAAGCTGAAACAAGGACTCAGTAAGGACACAACATCGCAATGTGACTGCAAGAGAGATCATACAACCCTTGATGAAAAATACACAGAGCTCCAGCAAATTAAGTTTCAGATGCTCAGTGAGATTGAGAAACTCAGCGTTAAGGAAAAAGTGTCTCGGACAGTGACAACTAGCAACAAAGCTAATCAAACATCCCAGGTCAATATAACCACAGGGGATACAACAGTGCAGGTAACAGAACAAGCCTCTGCCAAAACGAGTCAAGAACAGATGTGGGTTGAAGAAACAGAAGCAGATACAGACTCATCCATTCGACTCCTCTGTCAGCTACAGCATTACTGCTATCGATGCTGCTGCCATTGTGATGCCTGCTGTAAGCAAGTCTGTGAAGGGGACAGATGAGAGACACATCTGGGTCACTGTTATCATCAATCTAAATGTTTCTGGCATACAGTTGAAATACAAAACAAGTGTTCGACTGAACCATTTGTAATACAAAGATAATACCTGAACATTTTTGTTATATTTTTAGTCCAGCAAGTATGCATCACATTGCTGGCAAACGCTTGCTTTGGCAGTCCAGATAACTGACATTTTTAAAATTATCAGCCTAGAATTAGGTTTCCTAATTGATAAGAATTGCTGGAGTGGAATCAAACTAATATGTTGACACTTTTTTAAACCATCTTAACAAAAAGTAATAGGATAACTAAATATGTCAAGGTATTTGGCAGATCAGAGTTCAAAATGTGTGATGCTTGTGTGTCTTGAATAATTCTTTACTGGCTATTGCACCATATTTGTTTGCATAACAATATAAGATTTAATAGTGCACTTGAGCCATTTTAAGAATGAATGCTTCATTTTTTTTAGTTTTGCAGCAGAACCACCATTCTTCATATTGCATTTTTAAATATAATGCATCAAACTTAAGAATCAATTTTCACTTATTTACAGAAAATCATACAAATTTAAGAACCCATGTTCCCATGTTGTGTTACAATTATTTTAAGATATTCAGGCAGAGAGCTCCAAAGCCCTCACAGCAAAAGCCTGTTGACCTGGTATTTTTGCACTGTGACCTGCAGGAGAGCAGGTCTCAAAGTCCAGATCAGCCCAGTTACTGTGCTGCTGTGATGTTTTGGAAGTATCTAATGATCCTGAGTAGAAAATATATGATGCCGTTAAGAGATTTGTAAACCATTTTTAAATATTGCATGCATTTCAAGGTATAGATTTTTGGAGAAAATATTGCATATATTATTTACACTATTTGTAAATGTAAATAAACCTTGTGTGAAGTAGAAAAATATATACTTGTATCTGTTTATTTCACACACTTTTTTTCACGCAATTTTGTATAGAAAATGCTTAATCTCTTAAGTACAGGTGTTGTAAGAAGAAACATTTTATGTGTAGTTGACAGTCTCATCCTGTGGATACGACACAACACAGACCCTTTTTGCATCTTTAATTGCAAATATTATAAAACTTGTAGATAACATGCAGTAAATGTAATGAATTGGTTGTATGGTGGATGAATATAGACTTCTGCTTCTTGGTGTCTGATCACAATGTTTACCCTTTACATTTTGCAAAGAGCCTAAAGGCTGACTTACTTAGTCCAGTCAGGTGCTCCCAGATTTTTGTGTAAGTATAATAATATTGCGTGGATGCCAACTTTTAGGTGAAGACCAGGATTCGTGGAGCCAGCCCTGACACAAAAGCAGACCGCAGACCATGTGGTCAGTTTGCAGTTGGTGAACTGAAATGCAGCTATCACTGGGGAAAACCTCAAGGAATTTCAAGGATTCAAAAAAGTAGAATAGTGTAGATGTACATTGTATTCTAAGTGAGTTGCTGTGATCTGTGACCTCCACATGCATACTTTCTGTCTGTTTAACTAGGTGATGACAGCCAGCTAGCTGATACAGCTACACAATGAGCCCAGCAACCCCAAACTAAAGGCTGTATTGATAAAGAAAAGATTAGTAACATTTTCTATACTGGACTGTGTTTCTTATCAGTAGAGAATTTATTCGTGATGGTCGACATGTCATGACAGTGGGAAGCACCAATGCATTTGACTGTTGGCTGCAAAAAAGTATGCATTATATGATTAGTGAAAAGCCGCTGTTTCACATCTCCAAGCACTTAAAGGAAGGAACTTACAATTATAAACATATAAAAGGTATTGATATAGATGGGAAACAGAGCTGTAGCTGGAAAATTAACATTCATTCATTCATTCATTCATTTTCCATAACCACTTATCTTGTTATGGGACACAGGGGTGCTGGAGCCTATCCCAGCTGACATTGGGTGAGAGGAGGGCTATACCCTGGACGGGCTGCCAGACTATTGCATGGCTGGAAAAATAACAAGTGTGTATAAATAAAAGTTTCATTCTATCCATTTATTACTTAAAATGAAGACACAACAAGACTGAAGGGGCTGGATAACTAAATTCTCACTCACTTATTTACATAAACAAAGTATAAGTTGTTCTTTCAGTTACATTCTCAGTACACATGCAACAAGGCATGTGAAGTGGAATGTAAAAAAAGATTTTTTTTATATGGACCTGGTAAATGGACCTGCACTTGTATAGTGCCTTTCTAGTCATCCAACCACTCAAAGCCCTTTTTACACTACGAGTCACATTCACCCATTCACTGGTGGCTGAGGCTAACAAGGTGCCACCTGCTACTCAGTTTTGAACACACTCACACACCGATGGAACAGCCATCAGGAGAAATTTGGGGTTCAGTATCTTGCTCAAGGATACTTCTACACACAGACTGGAGGAGCCGAGGATCAGTGGATGACCCGCTCTACCTCTGAGCCACAGCCGCCCAATATATGTCATTAACGTTAAACTGTTCTTTATTTGGTATTATTTATTTCCAATAAAAATTACTTTTATTCTTTCTTTTGGGGTTGTTGCTTTTATTTTTCATCTTTTTGTCCTCCTCTGATAAGGATGTGAGTGATGAGGATACAAGGAGGAAGCTCCTGTACCTTTCTTTTCCACTTTTGCCCATAAATATGTTATTTCCCAAACACTGCTTCACAAATAATGTTTTACATAAGGCACATGAAATGTATCAATGCAACTGACCCTTAGCTAACTCCAACTCTTCTCAATTACTTTTGTCTAGTCTGTCCAGCTTTCACATCCAGCATGTCAATATGGCCTTTTCAGAAATAAGAGTAAGAGCTATTCCAAAGGAAATAATGGCAAAAATCTGAAATAACAGCTCTGAAATTTCAGACAGAAAGAGATAGGAAAGGGACTTCAACATGCATTTGAGAGCTATGAAAAATTCTGTGTTGTCACTATGGAAAAAAAACACCACAGTTCAAGGCTGGATCACAATTTAGCAGCTCAGCTAAAAGCTCTGCTTCAGCAATAAACTACAGTAGTCTATGCAGTTTATTTTTAGTGAACGTTACATTAGACATCACATTTATTTTTCACTGGCCCAATTGGACATGAGGCATTTCACTTAGAGTATAGCTACCTAGTATCAAGCCCTGCTTCCCCACTACTCTCTGCTGAATGGAAATTGTTGCTATGTAGAGGAAAAGCAACAGTTAGCAGGCCAGAATAACTGAAAGATGGCTTCCCCATAAAGTGCAGTAAAAAATTACTTGAAACTGATTCAGCTAAGAAACATAAAACAAAGCAATCAATTCAGCTCCATTACAAATTACAAGTTCCACAGACAAAATAATTGCCTCTTGCTAGTCAAGTTTTACCCACAGGGGGAGTGCTTTTGTACTGGGCACTCGGCCTATGACCGAATCAAGCGCCATTTATCAACAGTAAAAAGCGGCAATGGGTTTTTTTTTTTTTTTAACTCCGCTACCACAAATAGTTCGGCAACTGGACAAAATTGTTGCCAAAAAATGCACTAAGTAGCTAGCCTACTCCTGCACACTAGCTTGCAATTCTGTGTTGCTCCACATGTTACCACAGACCAACTACATCTGTGTGTTTCCATTTATTTTGCACCACTGCTTAATCAGTACCTTGTGTCGTCTTCTGCTGTCATATGAGCATACCTGGAGATTTTCAGTTAAGTATTCAGGTTTCTTTTCGTCCCTTCATCCTTCATCGTTTAACTCAAATGTTATTTGTGGTAATATATTTCATTTTGCGGTGCTAACTTTGTTGCGACGACCCTTAATTTCGGCTAATTAACGGTTAAGATAATTAACGACTCTTAATAACACCTGTAAAGCGGAGTGATACACGCATAGTGTGTAAGTCCAAGTGCTGTTATCGTTAGATTGTGCGTCACGTGACCCATGTAGACTTCAGATAGTTCCCGGAAGTTACTAACGGGTCGTTTGAATAAATAAGGAGCAGAACTCCGATTTTTGCAAAGTAACCATAGACATATATACATAGACGCCGCATTGACTGCCGCTGCCTATTGGAGCCGACGTCCTCGCCGGCCGCCATCTTGGATGGGTCTCGCTTCGCCTCCACAGTGCATTCACTTCTATTGAGGAAGGAGCTGTATGCACAAGTAAAATAGAATAACTCACTGAATTTTCAACTGATTTTCACGCGGTTTGGTTTGTTACAAACGGCACACATGTAGTTATGATACAGGATGCTTTCGTACATTAAAAATGCGGGATTTCATGCTTTAATACTTTCTGC